AGACCAGTTGTTGGAGGTTTTGGAGGACCAGAGGAGACCAGTTGTTGAGCACCATACCCTTGTTGTGGTAGTAGCTGAGAGTCATTTACAACAACTACTTGGAGCTCTAACAGATCACAGAAGAGCTTTAACTTTCAGAGTTATGCAAGTCTTTATTCTTTTAAGTAAAGATTCACAAACTGAAGTTCCTGGTTTGTTCAGATTAAAGTCTGTGATTTCTTTAAAGTATCAATAAATTATATTTTTCTGTTTGGGACGTGTTTTCTTCTCAGTACGTCGGAGCCGTCAACCCACCTTGATTTTCTCTCATTTACTTAATTAGCGACACGATTACGACAATTTATCTCCATTCCCTCGGCGTGACGGCAGCAGGAGGAGGAGGAGGAGGAGTGCTTCATCGTTCCGATCTGTAAGCAGACAGAAGAAAGGCTGCGTTCTTCTCCACTCTGGTTGTATTTCCAGCCGGGTGGCGCTGCAGCTCCGTTCGGAGCGGGTTAATTAGGAGCTCCACGCTCCGACGCCTCCCTTTAATTAACATCACAGACTCCCCGAGTTCTGCTGCTCCTGTTTGTTTGTCTCTGACTCACATGCACAAATACCCGTGGGTCTGCCGGAGCGTGAAGGCTCCTAATGGCTGCGTGATGTTTCAGAGAGCAGACGGACAGAACCCGACTCAGATAAAACGTTCTCCCGTGTGTGAACTCTGATATCACCCGGAACCACCGAGCTCCCATTAAGCCTTTACGTTTGTTTTATTCTGCAGCCGACTCGCCCGCGCTCCTCGCTCAGAGGAGTGAACGATGCTGGTTAAAGACGGACTGGATTCTGTTCTGTCGGACCCGAGCTCGATGAGGAGGCTGGTGATTCAACTCGTTTATTTATGGATCTGGGTCGGACTTTATTTACAGAAAATATCCAAACTCAAAATAGCAAGTTTGTATAAAATCAGGGCAGAGTGAGTGACGATGATGAGGAGAGCAAAAAATATCTTCATCTGTCACTGTGCAGCAAAACCTCCTCTGGTCTGAGTCTGACTCAGCTGCAGGAGTGGGTTTACTGGGAATGCACCAGGTTGTTCCCGGGGGTGACAGAGTATTTCACTGTGCCTGTAAGCAAAATATCTCTTGAATTACTGGGTGTATTTTAGTGAAGCTCCCACTGCATGGTCCTAATCAGTGGTAAATACTGGACTTCATATGGGCTCCTGGAAGTGGCAGCCAGTACCAGACCAGTGCCACAGGATCCCTGACAGAAAAGCCAGGCACCATTTTCACGTGACCTCGTTTAGGAACATTTGCAGCATGTTCGTGTCGTCGCGTTTTATTGCATGACGTTACATATGAAGAACATTAGTCATTCTAAACAAAGCAAAGTAACGGATAGTGTCAGTGCAAGCTTTAAGCCCCGCCCCCTTAAAGGGCCACACCTTTACTGCACAGACTCTGGTTCCAAAAGCCCAACGTGCAGCTCCCGTCTAACGCTTCCTGCTCTCTTCAGCTCCCGACATCGAGACACGGTGGGGGCATGTTCTATACGGTCGGTCATGGACCTCTACCAATAATTACCCTCTGAATTCAACTCAATTAAAGATGGCCGCCACAGCCAACTGACCTTGGCCAACTTAAAAATGCTTTAATTCAGTTTGTTGTGGTAGTAGCTGAGAGTCATCTCCAACTCATGCTCTTGGTTTATATTGTTTAGATTTGTCTGAACGTCATCATTTCAACAAAAACTGATCTTGGTTTAAAAACTGTGGCATCAAAGGAGGCGGGTGATATGCAACTTCAGCAACGCTAAACCTTTAATTTTATTTAGATCAACGTTGACCAAAACAACAAATACTTTATTTATTGATTGATCTTTTGGTGTTTTCATCCATTCTGTCTTTAAACTGCAGGTTTATCATCATTTTTCTGT